CACAAGTACGGTGCGCGCACACACACGCGGGGTGGCTGCACTGCCCTATGAACTGTTGAAGAGCTCTGCAAGGATCTGGGCTTGCCTCGGCTTTTTTGCTGTGGATCGTTCTGCAGCCGAGATGCAGCAGAACGAAGGCGTCGTCAGCGCTGGCCCTAGCGTCTCAGTCGCAACAACGGCACCGCACCGCCGCAGTCGACGTAAGCTGCATCCCGCTTGTCACAGCGCGCGGCCCACGAGCGGGGGTCGATACAGCAACCAAACCGCCGCCCCCGTAGGCCTGGTGTACGCGGGAGTCGGGTGGGTGATCTGGCGGGAGCCCGAGGATCTGCCGCAAGACCTCGTCTTCCACGTGAGGATCCCCTGGGTTGGATGCTTCCAAGTCAGCACACAGCACTTTGCTTTGATTGTTTGTCACGAGCGAGCCAGGACCTGGAGTGCACACGGTAAGGCGACTGCGTGAAGGCCGCAGCCCTGAGCCTTGCCGTAGCCCTTGCTGCAGCACAGCAAGCGCGGGCCTCAACCGCCGTCAACCGCCGTCAACCGCCATTGACCGCCATTGACCGCCATTGACCGCAGGTCAACTACCTGGGAGAAGACCAGGTGGGGCTGCGTATAGCCAGCAGGGACGGCGGCGGTGGTTGCGTGCGCTCACGAAGGCGCACGATTGCTGCTGCAGCTGCTGTGGTTGCTGCTCCTGTTGCTCCTGCTGCTGCTGCTGCTTCTGCTGCTGCTGCTCCTGCTGCTCCTGCTGCTGCGGCTCCTGCTGCTGCTGCTGCTGCTGCTGCTGCTGCTGCCTTCGTCCCTGCTGCGATATCCTATGGGTTTGTTGATAAAACTCCTGTAGGCAGGATCAGTGCCGTCCCTCCAGCGTGCGTCTCCCTGTGTAAACCAGCCTGTGCACTTGCGCATGCATGGGTCCGTGCACGCACGCTTGACTTCGGGCGCACCCCCATTGCCGCCCACTGACCCCTCACCCCCCCCCAAAAGGCCACGGTGACGCTGAACTTCAGCCGGGGGGCCAGCCACGTCATCGCGCAGTACTTCCAGCTGCTGCGCCTGGGGCGGGACGGGTGCGGCAACGCGGTGCTTTGTGATTCTAAGAGCGGCAATAAAAGAGGGTGTGCATGCATGCATGCAAGCACGCGCCTGATGACGCTTGTGCGTGCACCTTGGCAGGAGCAGTGCATGCGCGCTGTGGGCACGTTGATATGCATGTGAATTGGCCAGGTGTGCTGATGGGTAGACCGGTTGCGTCGCTCAGCTGCTGGGTTGGTAGTGGCGCAGGGTTGCTAGATGCAATGGCACTGGCATGTGCGCGCGCGCACACACACACATACTAACACACACACAAACATACACACACACAAACATACACACACACACACATGCGGCGGCACGCGCGCACAGACACACACACACGCACACACGCATGCGCACTCGCGCGCACGCTCACTCCTCGTACATGCACTCACTTGCCTGGGAACGGGCCTGTGCATGACAGGCAGGCTCACGCACCCTTGTTGGCGCGCCCTCAAATCCGCAGCTACTCCCGCATCATGAACAACCTCGTGTCTATCAAGCGGCGCCTCGAAGATGGCATCCTGGCCACAGGGGCATTTGAGATGCTGAGCAAGGAGGTGAGAGAAAAGGGATTACGTTTCAGGCGCGAAGCTTCTTGGGAGCGCAGGAGTGTCAGTGGGAAACACGGCGTGAGGTTGCAGGCCCCGCGCTCGCACGATTGTGAGACTGCTCATCGGGAGTTGTGCAGCAGCGCAGAGATGCGATGTGTGTGTCGGTGTGGACGTGTGTGGCTGAATGATCGGTGCTTCAAGATGGTCGGCAGTAGCTACTCAGCCGCGTGGGGTTCTGAGATTGGCGCACAAAACCTGGGGTTCAGGGGAGTTTGCTTCTAGGGGGCCTGCGTTGCAGCCACACTCCCCCGGGCGCAGCCCAGCCTGAGAGGCGGCCGCGCAGGCACGCTCCCGGCCGAGGCCTGGGCTCAACGTTGGCCGCTCCACCTCAGACTTTCCCTCCTTCCTGCGTCCCCCGGGGCCCCCCCCTCGCCTCCAGGTGGGCGTGCCTCTGGTGGCGTTCCGCCTGAAGAAGCGCGTCGACGAGAACGGGAACGAGGTGCGCCGCCGCCGCTGCAGGGCCAGCTCAAAATCCTGCGCCTCTGCCCTGCTGGACCCGCCTGCCGCCTTGCCGCCCATTCGTTTTTCTGCTCGCACACAGGCGGCGCGGCGCGCGTTGGCCGCACGGGCGGCGGCATCCAACTAGCGGCAGTAGGGGCGACGTGCACGACTGCAAACGCGCTGCGTCAACCAATACGAACACGCAGGTGCCCCGCCTGTGGGATGAGTACGTCTTCTCCCACACACTGCACCAGAAAGGTAACGATGACCGTTGGTGCAGGCGGTCAGGGCACGCCTGTCGGTTCGAAGCTTGCAGCAGTCGTGGCCCCTTTGTTCACGACATCACTCCCGGTACACCTATCTTCAGATACTATGGTGCTTTCGGCCCTGATGGCGCCCAACCTGTCTTCTATGTGCTGGGCTTGTCCTCCCTGCCCTTGACCCACAGGCTGGATGCTGCCGGCCTACACCATGTCAGAGCATGCCACTGACATCAAGCTGCTGCGCGCAGTCATACGGTGAGGGGGCGGGAGCCCCGCTGACCACCACCGTACACCAGCCTAGCCAGCACTGATCCTGCGATTGCGCATGCTGCTGCCTTGCCACCTCGGTCGCGCTGGCACGCCTCGCCGCACAGCTGCCTGCCTGCGCGAGTCGCGTCGCGATTCCAACACTTGCCAGCTTGTCCCAACCGCCGCCTTGGGGCGTCATGCTCAGCAGGGCTTGCTCTATCGGGCTTGCTGGCTGTGTCTCCCTTAGTGCTAAACTCCCCTCCTTTCCCTCGTTTCCCCGCAACACCTCCTCCACCCGTTCACGATGCTCATTTGTGAAACCCTCCTTGCTGCCCCCTACCACTCGCCCTCCCCCCCTCACCCCTGCCCCTAAAAAACCACCCAGTGTTGACCACTCCATGACGCTCATCTCAAAGCTGCTGGAGGCCATCCAGGTAGGGTGTAACTGTGTGTATTTGACTGTGTGTACGTGTATGTGTGTGTGTGCACGGGCGTGTGTGCGTGTATGTGTGTGCGTGTATGTGTGTGTGTGTGTGTGTGTGCGTGCCCGCGCGAGCGTGCGTGCGTGCTTGCCTGCTCGCTGTCCCCCATAGCATGGGGTTTGAGGGGGCCCAGGTGCATGTGAAGGGAGTGGGTTGAGGGGGAGGGTGTTGGTGTGAGTGTCTGGGGTGGGTTTTGGGTCTGATCAGGGCGTGGGTGCGGATGCAAGTTTCCTGGGTTGGGGTAGGGGTGCGGATACGGCGGGGCGCAGTGGGGCCAGGATGTGTGGGAGGCGGAAGAGAAGAAGGGGCTGCAGAAAGGAGGGTGGTGATGCTGGATGCCACCGAGGCCGTGCGCACCAGCCTTGGCCTTGAACAAGCAGGGAGCCTTAGGGAGATGTACGTCAGCCTCATCAATCACCACCCACAGCAGGCACTGCCCTCCCCCTGTGCCCAGCGCTCAAAGACTCATCCTGCAGCCTGTGACTGTCGAGGCACCGAAATGCATTGAACTCAATCCCCTCTCCTGCAGGGTGCCGTGCGCCAGCTGGACGAGACTGAAAAGCACAACGAGACGCACTTCAAGCAGCTGCAGGAGAAGCTGCGCGCGGTGCACGAGCGCGACGACTCGCTGCTGCGCAACCAGACGATCAAGACGACCGCGCCTTGCTAAAACAACCAGAGGGGCCAGCAGCGCGGCGGCTCACGACGAGTGGGAGCGGCGCACGAGTGGGCGCGTTGTGGCTTTTGGGAGGCGCCGCAGGCTGATGTCGGCTGGGAAACCCTCCAGCATCATGTCTTAATGTCTAAGTGAATTGGTGGGGGTGCCTGTAGATGGGCTTATCTTGATTGAGACGTGCTCGTGCTGAGTTGAGCCCTGCAAGTTGATCGCTCTGCTGCTGATGGAAAGGGGGCCCTCACTGCAGCGCCAGGCTCGCGCACAGCCTGCTGCCGCGACGACCAGACGACAGCACCTGCAACCACTACACTGCGTCATTGGCACATGCCAGCCTTAATTGTTTTCGCCAGAGCGCTTGTTGTAATCTGAATAGGGCTTGCACTAGGTGTATCGTCAATGCAAGGAGGGGCTGACATGTGTGCTGCTTCTTTCGCCTTCCTGCTGAGCTTGCGCGTGCAGTCCGCCCCAGGGTCGAGGGGGTGCATTGCGGGCAGCCTGAGTCAGGAGGGCGCGGGATGAGGGTGAGTTTCACAACCACTGGAGCGCTTCGCAATCCAAGGCGGTCCATAGCATGACCGGCCTGCAGGGGCAGCTGCATCAGGGGGAACAGGTCAAGACTGCGAGGTTCTATATGCTGCCCATTCAGGGAAGCACATTGCTCGTGTATCTTAGGGCTCATGCAAGTGCCTGCTGACCAGCATGAGCTATGGTGCTGTGCGTGACAGGATGACTCAATTTTTGTGTTGTACACTAGTATGTGCATTACAGAGTTGAGGGCCCAAAAGAACGTTGAACTTAAACATGAATCAGATGGGTTGCCTGCCATTGTAACACCTCACCCATGTCGGCAGGGTGCCTTGGAGAACACAGCCGAGCAATTTTTGAAACCTCTGCAATCTCATGAATAGTTTGCAAGTATGAACACCAGGCGACACCTTCGCAAGGAACTGCCAAAGTAGGCGAAACAACATCGTACACAACCTTTGCAGTGGGCGGGCCTCAGGGGTGTGCGCGAGGTTTGAATGCGGCGCATTGGAGTCTGGGCGAAGGACGGCGGGTGCCATGTGTTGCTGACGCGTCGGACGCTGCCAGCATTCAGATGGCACTGTGGATGAAGGGCAGATGCTGCTGCACGCGTTGCACAGCGCACCAACAACCTGCATGGAGCATGCAATAAAACCGCGTTTTTGTGGCAAATGCTGTCCGGAGGAATCCCCCTGCCAAAAAATGGAGCGTGCTGGCACCGCGAGGGTGCATGTGGCTCGTTGCAAGTGGCACGCATTTGCGAAAATGCAGGGTGGCGGGCCCCAACCAACACCCCAAATACCCACCCCACAAAATGTCGAAATCCCTGGTTCGGGATGAATGCACCTCCTAGCTCTGAGTGAAAAGAAAGTCACTGAACTGCGTAGAGACAGCGGCTTTAGTCAGGCCGGTGACGCTCTTGGGGACCTTTGAGAGTGTGACCTTTCCTTGGGGGCTCTTCACCGCAGACCCGCAGACGGTGTTCTTGCTCCCATCCAGATTGATGTTGCCTGCGGCGATGTGGCGTGGAGGAGGAGTTGGGGCGGGCGAGCGCGCCGAGGTCAGAAAGAGCAACATTTGCGCGCTCCACTTCTTGCGTTCTGGAAGCTAGGATCCTCGTGGCAGCATACAGGCAATGACGCCCGTGCGTTGTGAGCGTTGCTGAGTCACAGCTGCACCGCAACCGGCGGGTTGTCCCCCACCCGCGCCGGGCGCCCGCTGCACACTGGCAACCGTGGCGCACCACACCGGGACCACACGCGCGCCCATCCATGTACTTTCGCCCTCCCACACAGACGTGAGTGATCCTTTGGACTGCACCCTGAACCGCCGGCCTATCTCACCTGCAAACGAGCTGGCAGACTTTCGGCTCCCCAGGTCGAGCGTGAGCGGCGCGCCCGCGCCGCCCGACGGCTTCTTGAAGTCGCTCCTTGCTGACTGCACGGCGCTGCAGTTGCCGCTGTTGGCAGTGAAGGTGCACTTGGTGCAGAGCACCTTTGCGGCCTTTGGGCTGCGCGGGGTTTGAGGCGTGGCGATTGACATCAGTCAGCAAGCGACGCACAGATTTAGGCAACACACCCAAACATTTGATGGGGCCTGAATGCCAGAGGCTGTTAGCAGGGGGAGCGGAATGTGCGAGCACTGGCGGCCTAGGGAGCAGGTAGCGCAGGCCGTACGGCATGGCGGGATGACGCTGGATAGATGGGGCCAGGGTTGAAGCGGCCTGCCTTTCGGAATCTACCTGACTTTGTTGATGTAGATGGCGCCACCCTCCGTCGCGGTGTTGCCTGCAGTATGATGGTGTGAGCACGCATGTGACTTTATGGCGGATATTGTTGCGGAGTGAGCGGGCAGCTGCGTGCATCGGGTCTGGCAGTTCGGGTGCTGATTGCACGCGCACAGTGAGACAGGGGGCGCACGGCTTGAGGACTGCACCCCTCCAGGGCTTGGCATTGCAAAAAAAGAAACGCCCCCAGCCGCCCATCACGCTGGGATGCCCACACGCCAGCAGCTGCAACCGCCTAGCGCCTGACGGCTGCGTGCTAAGTGTCACGCAAGTCCCTGTCAGGCTAGGCAGGGGCAGGGTGGGGTGTGGCTGCCGGTGCATATGTAGCCCTGTGATATGGAGGACCCTCACCCTTAAATATTGTCCTGGTGATTGCGAGGATGGTGCCCCCAAAAAACTTGGAGGCGCCGGGCGTCAGCGTCCCGGCCTCTGCAGCACGGCAACCGGGGCGTGGAAGCTCAGACAGGGTCAGCGGACAGACCACTTTCTTGCGAGGAAAGAGCTCTCAGGCCGTCAGCGGTGGGCATTGTCTGCGGCCTTGCCGATCAAACAGGCAAGCAGATCTGGAGCCCAGCGCAAGCCCAACAATGGCATAACCCCCGAGCGGCGGGGCGCGCACCCGCGTAGATGGCACCCCCCGAGCCGGAGAACGCGGCCGTGTTGCCCGAGAACGCCCCGTCCTCGACCGTCACCGGCGTCGCGTACGTCAGGAGCGCGCCGCCGCAGCCCTTGTTGAGGAACGAGTAAGCGTCGCAGCTGCTCGCCGTGAAGTTCTGCAGGTCCACCTTCCGCAGTACCAGACGCTTCGCGTTTTCGGCAAAGATTCCCGGCCGCAGGCTGAGGCCGTCGAGGATCAGGGAATTGAGCTCGAGCTGAACGCCCGGCCCCGTCAGCACAAACATCCGCGCGCCGTCGGTCCCCGCGCCCGCCAGCCGCGGCCGCGCGTCGCCGTCGGCGCACTTGCTGCTGGCGGCCTGCAGCGTCACGCGGCCGCGGCCGGACAGGCGGACGAGGGCTTGGATGACTGCGAACGAGTCGTCGGGCTTCACGCAGTCGTCGTAGCGGCCGCCGTCCGCCGGGCAGGCCAGGGACACGCGGAACGTGCCGCCTTTAGTCTCCATGGTGTCTCTATACTCGCGGATCTTGGCCTGCAGCTGCGTGCAGTTGGAGACCGCTAAACGCGGGGAGGGCGGGAGGACGGGTCGGGGGGCTTGTGAGGGAGGCCGCCTGGTAGGGGTGGGGTGCAGCGGGTGCTCGCACCCCTGCCGGTGCCCGACGCCGCCGAGCTGCCGTCTGCAGCGCTGTGCATTTGCAGAAATGATACCAATGAGGTGTTCTCAAAATCTTTGATATTGTGGGGCAGCGGGCTCGTCAAGGAAGGGATGACCGGGGCACTCACTCGCTTTGAAGAGCGCCGCGTGGCCGCCGCCGGGTGCCGCTGCCATCAGCAGCGACACCAGCAGTAGCGCAGCTGTGCCTGACGCCATGTGTCTTTGTCAACAACTCTCTACTTTCTGGCGATTGGCCTGGAGCGCTCCGCCGGAATGAAGCGCAAGTCCTCGCAAGGAAGGAGACCTGTATAAAAGCACACTGAGTCAAGAGCAAATCTGTGCTGTTTGGAATTGAACCCAAGCTGTGCAACCATGTATTCAAGAGGAACCTTGCCGTGTCCGCGGGTGGCCGGGCCAAGTGCGGGCCGTCAAACAGTGATCTACGAGTGACACGCATCGCGTGCCTTCTGGGCTCAAACATCTGTGATGAAATTGAGGTGTAAGGGCCCAGGATGTTGGTTACCTGATACACCGACATGCCATCTACACATTGGAGTTCAGACAGTTTCAGAGAGCTCACGTCACGAGCAAAACTCGCACTGGCCAGGCCCATACACTGTACACGCAAGTTCAGAGTCATGTTGAACAGCTGAAAGCGAGATTCTATCAAACTGTTGCATATGGTCAAACGCCTCAGTGCTCCCTCAACCGGTACACCTTCACCAGCTGCCCAGGCGTTTGTTGTTGACCCACTGACTGGTTTCTCGGGTTATCCGCCCGCAGCGCACCTTCACAAAGATTGTTTTCCTGCTTAAAAAACATATCATCACGTAACAATCAACTTTCCGTGGATCACAGTTGATCACCAGCCCTCAACGCGAGTTGCAAGCGGTGTGTATGGCCCGAGCGAGGGAAGCTGAGGGCTAAGTTTGGCCAACGATTATTTGATGGCGGACTGCCAAGAGGACGGCGAGGGCGTGGCGGAGTGCGAAGCCACAAGTGGCACACTGGTGCTGGGGTCCACTGAGGTGCGAGAGCCCTCGGGTGTAAAGCTTCTCTATAACCGAGTGATGCTTGTGGGCCGTCCCAGCACTGCAGATCCTTGCTGATTTCGACAGTCCCCGGGTGCCGCGCGTGGATTATGGCGCGGGCAGAAGGCACGGCCTGACGATTCCGGCCGGCTGGTGGAGGAATCCTCGACTTTGGCTGGCAGATGCAACCCTGCGGCGAAGCTCAGCCGCGTCCCGCGCCTCTGCGGTCGACAACGAACCGCCCACAACTAACACCATCACGTGCGACCAGCAGGAGATGGCGGCGCGGTTTGATGCCACCCTGGCAGAGCAGCAGCAGCAGCAGCAGTGGGCGGAGGAGCAGGCCTATGACGGCGCATCTGGGGTGCAGGGTGCAGGCAGTGACCACGACCGCGACAGCAGCGGCTGCGCCTCAGGCGCTACGGCCGTGGCGG